GTCTTTCCACTGTCAGTTTTTTAAAGGATTTATTTATTTATTTTACGTGTATGAGTGTTTTGCCTGCAGGTATATAAGTGCACCTGTGTCATGCAATGCCCATGGAGGCCAGAAGAGGGCGTCGGATCCCCTGGAACTGGAGTTAGGGAGACATGTTAGCTGCTGTGTGGGTGCTGGAAACTGAACCTGAGTCCTCTGCAAGATAAGTCAGTACTCTCAACTGCTGAGCCATCTATCTTGCCCCAAAGTTTAAATTAATTGCTTGAGAATTTCATACACGCTTACAACGTATTTGATCATATCCACCTCTTACACCTCTCTCCAACTCCTTCTGGATCTATACCTCCATCTCCCTTCAAACTTCATGACCTTTGTTTCCCCTTTATAATCCACTGAGTCCAGTTTATGCTGCCCATATACCAACAGGTCTGGGGCCATCCACTGGAGCATAGTGGTCAGAACCACATCCCTAAAGAAAACTGACTTTCCTTCCCTTAACAGCCATCAATTTAGGCCCCAGGGGTGAACTTACTACTATTATTTTGCTAAATGGACATAGTATCGTGTCCTTTAAATTCCTATTTTTCTGCCCATAGATCAGTGCAGCTCTCAGCCTTTATCAGAGAAGTTTCTCTGTGCGGTGGATGGCAATTAACGCAGAAACTCACAATAGGTTAGAAAATAAGTGTCTGTGGAGTGCACAGCCATAAATGGGACATCTACAGCACACTTCCTCCTCCCACAAGCCTCAGGGAATATTGTGGAAGAAGGAGTAGAAAGGTTATAAGCGCTAGAGGTCAGGAGGAGAGGGACAAAACAGTGTCTACTGGACATGACAGGACCAAAGTACTGGTAAACTCACAGCAGCTGTGGTCGCCTGCACGTCAACATTTCAGCATGAAACTCAAAATTTTTATCAAGTTGTAGGGTATAAGGAATTGCTTCTACTCCAAGACACACACACACACACACACACACACACACACAAACACATATGTGTGTATATGTGCATCTATAATTATATATGTATATATTTTTGAGACAGGTCTCATGTATCTCATAAATCACTATGTGGACATGGATGACCTTGAACTTCTGATCCACCTGCCTTCACTTCTCTGAATGCTGGGATTACAGGTGCCTCACCAGGCACATACAGTACTGGGGACTGAACCTAACAGACCTCATGCATGTGAGGCAAGTATTCAACCAAGTGAGCTGCATCCCCAGCCCCAGACACCTATGTGAAAGTAAAACTCTTAGTAAGCTCTGCTGTCCGTTGCCTTCCTCCACATTTCCCTCTGCTGTACCTGCTGGATGACTCATTCCCTTCTACTGTGATACCGTGGATTGCAATATTGACTTCCTCTTATAAGTTGATCAGATCCTACTTTGTTCAGGAAAACCAGAACAGCCTCTGGTCCCTGCAAGAGCAGTTGGTACTGGGATGGGGGAGAAGGCAAACAAGAGAGCTCTTAGTCTTTGTCAGAACTCTGGGCCTGCTTTGTCCAGGGAGACTTTGGTGTGGGGCATGCTGCTCACTGCCAGCAGGAGAGAGGCAAGTGGTGTCAACCCTTCCTTTTTTGTTGACTGGGGAAGATATTTGGAGTTCCTTCCCCTCTCGTTCCCCTCTGTCCACACAAAGGTCCATTGCTCTTCTGTGAGAAAAGGAGAGTTCCTTCTTTTCCTCTATGAAAAATGTTCAAGATTTTTGTTGACTTGCCAGAACAATTTCTAGTGCTTGAAGCCTGATTAAAATTTAAAAGTATTTTAAAGAGTCTCAGAATTAAACAAACAAAAACCAAGATAAAGCTTAAGGATATCCAATTTCAATTTGTAAAACTCTGGCTTCTAGGGTAACTAACAAGTCCATTTTTGTTGCTGTTGCTGTTTTTTTTTTTTTCATTTGTTTGCTTGTTTTTTTGCATGTCCATCATCCCCCTGGCTCCAGAGAACATTTCCAGCGGCCCCTGCAACTCCTTACTCCCTGGTCTATTTACTGAGCTTCCTCTGACTCTCGTTTAAGTCAGCCAGCTTCCTCTCCCAGTGATTTTCCTTTATTCCTCCCCGATTGCACACCACTACTTTAATTCTCTTTGTTGTTTCTTTCTCTTGCTATAGGGTCTTGCTAGGCAGCCCAGGCTGGCCTTGAACTGGTATGAATGTTCCTCTCTTAGCCACATGAATGCATGGATTATAGGGTGCATCACCACACTGAGCTCTTTTCGAGTTTCATATTTTCTCTCTCTCTCTCTCTCTCTCTCTCTCTTGGCATGTGCATGTGGTCATGTATGTTTGGGTGTGTGGTGCCTGTGATATAAGTGGAGGCTGGGTGGGAGTGTGGGGGAAGACATCAAATGTCTTCCTCTATCACTTTCACATTATGTTTTTGAGACTTGTCTCTTACTGAACCGAAAGCTCACTGTTTGGGTTAGGCTAGCTAGCCAGAAAGCTCCTGGGATCCACCTGTCTCTGCCCTCCAGTGTTGAGGTTACAGGTATGCAGAATTATGCCCAGCTTTTATGTGGGTGCTGGGGATCTGAACTCAGTTCCTCTTGCTTTCACGCCAAGGGATCTCACCCACTGAGCCATCTCCCCAGCCCTTCTAGCTCCATTCTTTTAGGATGTGGAGGAAACAGACCTCAGGGAAACAGGCAGTGGTCACTGGGTATCCCTTGGAGGCTAGTTCCAGGACCCCTCCTCCCCAGGGTACCAAGAACCAAGGACCCTCAAGTCCCTTACATAAATAAGCACAGTATCTGTACAGAGCACATAGAGCATGTACTGTAACTCACCACTAGATGACTTAGGACACCCCATACAATGCAACTAGTCACACTGTTGTGTGTAGGTGATAATGACATGAAAAATGGTTAGTACCTGTTCGGCAGAGATGGCTGTGCGGCTGCAGCATGAAGGCTGTGGATAAGCAGGGCTCTGTTCCTACACTGATATTTCATGACTAGAATGGGCTTTTCCTTTTGACATTTGAACATCTCTGCAATCAGGCATGAGAACGTGAATGGCTTTTTTCTTAGTTGATTACATACTTTTAAAGTATATCTTACAATCATAACATTTTAGTTTGGGTGTTACTTTAGAAAAAATATGAAGATCAATAATCAAATAGTATCTATGCACCATTGATTCTTCAATAGTTTGAAGGTTTATAAATGGAACAGAAAAATGAGTCCACTGTGACTCTGTGTGTGCAAGTGTGAGTGAAGGAATACACATTTGGAAAGGGTCTACATTTTGCTTTTTGAGAAGATCTCACTATGTAGCCTACACCTGCCTCTAACACAAGATCCTTCTGCCTCAGCCTCCTGAGTTCTGAGATTACATGAATGGACCACCATGCTTGGCTACTAAAACATACATACACACACACACACACACACACACACACACACGCACGCACGCACGCACACACACCCCACTTGCATTTTATTTCTGGGATGGGGATGTGACTCAGTGGTAGAATGTTTACCTCACATATGTAAGGCTCTGGGTTTGATCTGCAGCACTGGCCCCCCAAAACAGAAAGGAAAAAAAGTTTCATTTCTAAAACAGTATGTCTTGGTTTTTCTAAATTTTTTTTCTTTTCTTTTCTTTACCATAAGTCAGGACCCTTTGTTAAGAAACCTGAGCCAAACCTTAGGGGAATTTTCTTTAACTTAAAGTTAATTAAGTTTTGCAGCCCTGGGAATCCAACCAAGAGCCTTTAGCATGCAAAGAAAAAGCTCTATCACTAAGTTACATACATCCACAGCCCTTCTTTAACTTTAAAAAAAAAACTGAAAAACTTTAGAAGAATGGTAAAAATAGTCACCCTTTAAAAAATTATTATTTAAAACTGAAAAACCACTTGTGAACTACAGAAGCTAAAAGGTCAAGTCACTTCCTGAGATCAACAAATTAAATCTTATCAGACCTGTCCAATCCCTTAGCGAGGTTAGTTAATTCGATGTTTCTCTTAGAACACATTTTGGTGTGGCCTCTGCTCCGCGCGCCGCCCCCCCCCCCCCCTAAGGCCAAACACATGAATTGACAAGGGACAGGATGGCCTCTGATCACAGCCCCAGAACTCTGCCAGGGTCAGAGGACACAGACTATATTTCCTAAGACCTCTTGCCAAACAAAACAAGGACACCAAACAAACATTAAAACACAAAAGCTGGTATAGCCAAATAAATGGCCAAATGGGTCGGTGGAACCAACTCCGCCCTGCATATGACTGATTGGCTTGGCTTGAATGGATGCACAAGTAACCAATATCCTACAGAACTCCAGCAATACCTTTCCAGTATCTCATCCCTTTGCACACATGTCGACAGGCTAGGACACCTCGTCCTTGTCCCTGACCTCCCACCGTCTCAGGGGAGCATCTGTCAGGTCAGGATGCAGGGCACTGCAACCAGAGCTGGCTGCCCTGTTGATTTATCTGGCGCGCTTACAATCGATTCTGGGGCTTCTGCTGGGGGTCAGGCCTGGGACCTGGACCCAGAGGCCCAAGCGAGTAGCCCACTTTGACAAGGCGGGGTGGGTCCTGAGGAATCTGGACCCTCTTGGGGATCTCGCAGAGTCTAGTCCCCAGGTGTCCCATGCACCCTTCTGGTAGGGTGCGGGCAGATGGGGTGCCCAGGGCTAGACACACACACAAAAAATGCAAGTTTACTGCAGGGGTGATAAGCGGAGGGCGCCCCGGCAGTGTAAGCACAGCCTGCCCACGAAGGCTGCGTGGGGACCGTCCCGAGACGATCCAGGGACTGCAGGGGACCCCAGGACGCCCGCGAGAGGGGTGCAGGGCCGCTGGGGGCCAGAGTCCCCAGAACTGCGAGGGAAGAAAGGCAGGAAAAGGCGGGGCGGGGCGGGGCGTGGAGCAGAAGCTGGAAGGGGGATTCCGGGAACTGGCATCCGGGAGGCAGCCTTGGCTTCCTTGCCAGGGGTGCTGGCGGTCCCCACCCACGTCCCCACCGTCCCTGCGGGTCCTGCCTCACCTGGGAGTTTGGTCGGGAAGATGCCCTCCGAGATGCACCCTCAGGCCACCTCCTGATCCGGCTACGGAGCGGGCAGCAGGGATGGGCACGGCAGGAGGGCAAAGGAGTACCGACCTAGGCCAGACCCCGGGCGAAAGCGGGCTGAGAGGCCGGGGATGGCCGGCTGTCTGGGTATAGGAGGGTCCCCGATTGCCCGAAGGTTTTCCCCGGGGTCTCCCCAGGGTTCAGAGTCGGCCCAGCGCACAGAGCGCCAGGCTCTGGGTAGCTTTGCCAACCTTGTTCCTGGGAGAGGCGGGGCCAGGGGCGGGGCCGGGACACCATTGGATAGTCTGTGAGTCCTTTACCCATTGCCCTAACCCCACCCCCTCCTAGTACCGTCCAGGGAGCAAGGGGTAACGGATTTTTTGGGCTGTTTAATGTGTTGCAACAGCTTCACCGGGCTAGATTGGTACTTAGAGACAACTTAATAAAAATGTGTTGGATGCCAGGCCGGGTGGTGCAGATCTGTAATCCCTAGCAACTCTGGAGGCTAAGGCAGGATCTCAATTTCAATGGCCGCCTGGATACAGACCTAGTTCAAGGCTAGCCTGGGCAACTTAGCGAGACTCTGTCTCAAAATGAAAAGCAGAAAAAGGGCTGGAGTTGTAACTCCGTGGTAGAACACTTGCCTAGCATGGGCTAGGCCCCAGGTCCAGTCCAGGAGAGCACAAAAGAATGAGTTCTCTTCCCAGTTCCTGTAAATACTGGTTTTATAAACTTCTCTGACTATAACTCTCTAATCAATTAAAACAGGAGTAAGAATCCCTACCACTGAGTTATAAAGGGCTGACACAATTTGTGGCACAAGCAAGTATTATAAATATTATTACCTCTGCTTCTCCCTGGGTCTTTCCTTAACACTTCCCAGCCCCCAAAGACCAAGGTGTTTTCAGAGCAAGGGGAAAGGCAACTCTTTCCTTAGTTTGCTTATCTATTACTGACAGGCCGTATACTTCACAGGTGGAAAATGAAGCAGCTTTCCGTAGTGCAAGCTCAGTTCTCAAGCTATCAAAATGGATGTGCTAATGGAAATCTTTCTGAAGACACGGGGGGGAAATTAAATGCACTTCTAGGCTATTTTAAGCATTCTCACTTTCAGGCCTCTCCGGAAAGGCAGAAGGAAGACAGTTCATGGTTTATGTAGATGGAAAATTTTCTCTCACCAAAAGTGTACTCTTTTTTCTTTTAATTTCTTTTCTTCTTTCTTTTTATTTAATTACTTGTGATTCTCAGCATCTGCTACCTTCTGAGGTACTGGGATTACAATGAAAGGCCACCACACTCAGCATAAAGTTTTTATCCATGTGGTCTGATATTCCTTCATCTCCCTTCCTGGACTAGGAACAAGGAGAGGTGGTACAGCCTCTCGTATTGCCCTTTCAGAATCCCCACCAGTCCCACGAGACTTGAGAGGATGTCATCTGGGATCCTGGTTCTGAGCAAAAGACACTCAGCATTGGAAATATTTTCAGCCACAGTTTCAAAGAAGTTGCAGAAATAGCCTCTGAAAAGTGGGGAAACAATGCAAAACTTTGTACAGCATGCTCCCTTCCACAAACATGCACATTAAAATACCTTTAACTCGGGGCTGGAGAGATGGCTCAGAGGTCAAGAGCACTGACTGCTCTTGCAGAGGACCCGGGTTCGATTCTCAGCATCCACATGGTGGCTATGAGCCGTCCTTGACTCCAGTTCCAGGGGAATCCGAAGTCTCCTTGTAACCTCCGCGGCATTGCACGACACGGGTGCACTCACATACATGCAGGCAATACACTCACGCACATAAAATAAAACATTAAAAAAAAAAAAAACCTTTTGCCGGGCGTGGTGGCACCCGCCTTTAATCCCTGCATTCAGGAGGCAGAGGCAGGCGGATCTCTGTGAGTTCAAGGCCGGCCTGGTCTACATAGTGAGTTCCAGGACAGCTGGGGCTACAGGGAGACCCTGTCTCAAAAAGACCAAAAAAAAAAAACAAAAAACAAAAAAAAAAAACCCAAAACCCAAAACAAAACAAAACAAAAAACCTTTTAACCCTAGTACTCGGGAGGCAGATGCAGGTGGATCTCTGTGAGTCTGAGGCCAGACTGGTCTACATAGTGAGTTCCAGGACAGTCAGTGCTATGTAATAAGACCCTGTCTCAAAAAAAAAACAAAAACAAAAAACCAAACTGTCCAAAAAAGAAAAAAAAATTGTAGGAAAATGGATGGGACTGGAAATCATTATGTTAAGCAAAATAAGCCAGGCATGGACCAATGGCACCCTTTCCCTCATGTGGAATGTGGACTTAAATATGTATAGATGTGCAAAGGAGAGTAGAAAGAGGACTGTGAGAGAACAGGAAGAGGTCCAAGGGGAGGGGCAGAGAACAAGAGGGGGTAATGGAATGTATGTCAAAAAAGCAGAAGGAAACCATTTGAGAGGAGGAAGGGACCAGGGGGAGCAACATAGAAAACAAGAACAGAGTGCAATGATATATGTATGCATGGAAACATCACCATTTCTATTTATGCTAAACAAAAAAAGAGCCATAGCCCTAATCAATAATTCATATATATATATGTATATGTACATATATATATGTTAATCATGATTAATAGCAGATTGGGCAAATAGGGGAGCTTAGAAAAGAACAACATAAATACAGTTAAGTGATTAAATTTATTATTTTAATTTTTATGTGTATGAGTATAGTCTGCATGCATATAAGGGCACCTGTGTCGTGCAATGCTCACAGAGGTCAGAAGATGGCTTCAGATCCCCTAGAACTGGAGTTATGAGTGGTTTAATCACCATGTGGGTGCTAGGAATCGAAACTGAGTCCTCTGCAAGAGCAGCTGGTGCTCTTAACTAATGAGCCATCTCTCCAGCCTCAAGTCAACTGATTTTTGACAAAGCAGCAGACAGTCAATGGAAAGAGGACAGTCTTTCCAACAAATGGTGCTGGAATGACTGTCTTATGGTTTGTAACTTAAGTGTATTTATGTAAGTGAGGATATGACATCTGTTTTTAAGTGCCCACAAAGGCCAGAAGATGGCATTGGATCCTCAGAGCTGGAGTTACAGGTGGTTGTGAAACACCTGACATGGGTGCTGGGAACCAAACTCCAGTCCTCTACAAAAGCAGTATGTGCTCTTAACCACTGAGTCATCTCTCCACCCCGTAGACATGGAGATTTTTAGGATGGTGAAACTATTTTATAGGATACTAATGCATGGCTATATGCCATTTGTACATTTGTTAAAACCTATAGGGTGTAAAACACCCAGAATGCAAAGTATGCAACTTTAGTTCATAATAATGTATCTCTACTAGTTCATCAATTATAATAAATATTTCACCTTACTACAAGATGTTAATATTAAAGGAAATGGTATGTAGGTAGAGGGAGTATAAAAGAAATCTCATATACACAGAGGAAGAGGGAGGTGAGAAAGGACAGAAAGCAACTTTGAAGAAATTTTGGTGTGCAGATGATCAAAGATGATGTGTGTATAGAAGCAGGGTGTAAGCTTTATAGTGTACATGAGCCAAAGCGGTATGTGAGGGCAATGGTGGGTACTTTTAAGAATAAATTGAGTATATTTAGGCTAACAGGAAAATGTAGAGCATTTCCATATAAACTTCCCTTAATACCCCACTCCTCCTTGCTGGTTTTCCTATGACAATATCATTGCATTATGTGGTGTATTTGTTATTGACAATGAATCAGTATCGATACACCAATATTAATGAAGGTCCCTAGTTAATACTAGTGTTCACTTTGAGTTGTATGGCCTATGTTTTGTTTCACCAAAATGTGATACCAGGTGTTCTCTGTTCCCACATTCTTTTTTAAGTTTTTAATTAAAAAATATTTTATTGATTATTTTTATTTTATGTGTATGAATGCATTGGCTGCATGTATGTAAGTGCATCCCTGTGTGTGTCCCTTGGGAGCCAGGATTGGACCTAGGACATCTGGCCTGTGCACAAATACCCTCTGGGCAATCTCATCAGCCCCACTCTCAGAGTATTCTATAGGTTAATTTCAGTGCCTTAGAAATTCCCTGTGCTCTGCCTGTTCGTGTCTCCTTTTCCCTGTCCCTGGCAACCACTAATGCTGTTTTTTTTTTTTTTCTTTCTCGATATTTTTGCCTTTTCCAGAATGTCATGTACAGTGTACAGCCTTTCCAGACTTCTGTCACTTAGCAACAACACCTGGGGTACCTTTATGTCTTGCTGTGGTTTCATAGCTTGTTTTTTTTTTTTTTTTTAATGCTGAATAATGTTCTGTTGTCTAAATGTCTCACAGTTTATCATTCATTTATTTTTTAAAAAATCTTTATTACTTCTAGTTTGAAGCAATAATGAAAAAACTGCTACAAATGTTTTTTGTGTAGATATAAATTTTTAAAAATAATTTGTTTATATTTTATGTGTTTGTGTATGAGTGTTTTGCCTGCATGTATGTTAACTGCACTAGTGTCATGCAAAGCCTTCAGAAGCCAGAAGAGGGCATCAGTTCCTCTGGAACTGGAGTCACAGATGGTTGTTAGCTGACATGTAGGTGCTGGGAATTGAACCAGGTCCTTTGGAAGAGCAGCCAGTGCTCTTAACTCCCAGTGCTCTATATACTGCTGAGACATCTCTCCAGCTCCAGATATCAGTTTTTGATTCACTTAGAGAAATACCCAGGAGCATAATTGAAAGGTCACATGGAATATGTTTTATAATTAGTTTTATAAGAAACTACCCAGCTATCTCCTAAAACGGCTGCATTGTTTTTGCATTCAGCAACGAATGAATGTTCCTGCTGTTCCACATCCTTGCCAGCATTTGGTGTTACCATGCTGGATTTTAGCCATCCTTAAAGTTGTGTAGTGTGTCATTGTCTGTTATTTTTAAGATAGATTGTTGTACACGCCCATAGTCTATTGAGGATGATTCTGTAGAGAAGGATAAATTGGTAAAAGGAGATAAAGGCAAGAGTGAAGTGGTTGTGATGGAGCAAGGAGAATCCAGAAACACAGAAAAGGGCTGACTCTCCATAGGAACAAGGACTTGGCATCCTTTGTAACAGAGGAAAGGAAGGCAGAGGTATGGGTATTTGGGGAGAGAAGGTGAAAGAGCCCCTGAGTGACAGCTTCTGTTTTTTATAGGAAGTATGTGGCAATGTTATTTGCTAAGAAGGCCTGTGGCAAGAATCAAAAAAAGATTTGTGAAGAAAGAATATTCTAGATGTGGAATGCCTGTGTGTGAAAGGCTTCATGGAAGAAGG